GAATTGCAGTGACTGTTGAGATTGAATCTGTGTAGCAAATGAATTGCAGTGACTGTTGAGAGAATAAAATGAACAAAATTCAAAAAACAAGAATAGCAGAGGAGTTGCAGTTCAGGTGAATAAATAAACTTTAGGTGAGAAAGCCAAATTGAAAAGCACTGGGCTCGTAGCTACTTTTTATTCTGCAAAATTGCAATTTTTTTTCTAGTTTGAACATTGAGACAGGGGGGTAGCCTAGTAGAAAGGCTATCGTCTGACGTTAGCCTTGAAAAATTGAGATACAGGTACATGCAATTACCAGGCTTACTGATGAGGGGCGAAATGTGTTTTGTGACCTTAAACCCTAACCCCATCAGGTGAAAAAGTCTGATTCAATCTGATGCACTTGGCAGTCAGCAGCAGCTGAACAAACTGGCCATGTTGAGACCATGGGATCTAGTCCCACTGAACAGTGCCAATTTTGGGTCTTGTAGTGACTGGCCACCACAGACTCCCAGGCTTTTGACCTGGGGGAGAGTTGACCTGTGGGAACTTTTCACACAGGGCAGGCAAGCCACTGTGACAAATGATGCAAAGTAATGTGTCCGCAGGTTTTCTGGCCAAGGTAGGCTGGAGAGGTCGGGATAAAAAACTCAGATATGCAACTACTGTTCAAGTGCTGTATTGTTTTCATTGGCTGATATGTTTTACAGGAGACTTGGAACAGGTGCCTGCCATCAGTGAGCCAACTCAATAAGGTTATTCCATGTCAGATGACAACACCGTTGACCTTGGGTCTTCAGATTTTAATACAAAAATGCTGTGCTTGAAGACATTAATAAATAATGTACATGCCAACACAAACCAGCCAGTCATCTCGTGAGCCAATCAGCCTACCAACCAGCCAGTCATCTTGTCAACCAATTTGCCTACCAATCAGCCAGTCATCTTTTGCACCAATCAGCCTACCAACCAGCAAGTCATCCTGTCAACCAATCAGCCTACCAACCAGCCAGTCATCTTATCAACCTACCAACCAGCCATTTTATCTCATGGACCAATCAGCCTACCTACCAGCCAGTCATCTTTCAAGCCAGTCATGCTAGATAACTAGCAAGTAGTCAGGCATCAGTGTTACTTATCTATACCAATCATGCAGTGGATTAGCACAGGTAGGCTGCATACCAAAGCTCAAAGGCTTTTGATGTGTACCTTTGGATGGATTTCCCCCTTTTATATTTATCAAATATGCCTTGTCATTTCCACACAGTCACTGTCATCTTTTAATGCAAATCATGTTGAGGTGAGGTCTTATGAAGCCTCGGACACAACCTGCAAGTACTACTCACAAATGCAGATAGAAACATCTTTCTAACCCCATCATGCCTTTCTTGATTTCTGAATGAATAGTTCTCCACTGTACATGTAAATGGAAATAGATTATCAAAGAAATTGAGAACCTCACAATATTATTCATACATATAGCTGAGCCAGTGGATTGTTAGTAGTTACAAGTTTTCTATGTTTTCTTGAAATTAAAACGTTTTTCTTGGTTCCACTTTGTGCATCCCTTTTGCTTAAATTCCTTGACGATTTCCTTTCAGGTGAATCCCCACAAAACGACATATGTTTTGTGGTACCTTTGACCCTTGGCCATTGTGAGGCTATCATCCTGACCTGTCCAAGAAAACCCCTTGAAGACAAATACAACCAGCCATTTCCTGCAAGGTGAGTTCCACATAGTTTTATTACAAGGTAGTGTTCTTTTTATACCGACTCTAACCTCTAGCATACATGTATGTGAAATTTTTTTTAATCAAAATTTGGGGCTTGAGGACTTAAATCACTCCTTTGAAAGATGAAATACATATAGTTTCAGTTGTTAAAATTAGTCCAAGTTACTTTGTGTCATTAAAGACCCTGAATGACCTCTTGGCAAATTGTTCATACCAAAAGTCCCATGACTGAGGCTCCTATATCCAGTGTGTCATGCTTATAGTATTGTAAACATACGTAGACCTACGTTAAGACAAAGTCTTGGAGTTAACCTT